TTGGCTTTTGCCGTACGACAATGAAAATAAAAGGTAACTTTTTATGTAGTCGTATGTCGTCTCTTGTCCGAGGTCTTTTTCCAATAGCGATTAGAATAGCGGCTCTGATCTATTGAGTCGTAGAGACATTTCAATTAAATTATTGTCGTGTAACAATTTGAAAATGTTTTGTCTATTTTCTAATCTATTTTTGGTTAATTCTAAATTATTAAGGTCTTATTTGAGACTTATGGTCGCACCAGATGAGTTAAGTCCTAGAGGTTAACTCATAGAGTAATTTCGGATAGGGTACACCGTCTGCTCGTCACGCTATCTTATTTTCGGCCGGATAGATTCGTGCAACTTCTTAGTCTAATACCGATCCTAATCTTACTCTTATATCTACTAGTCTCAGGGTGTTTAACTAGTCTCTGCTAGGCTCAATAGATCTAGAGTATACTGGCTTATTTCGACTGCTGAAGTTCTCTTGGAGAGGTAACTAATTTCTAAGTTAAATTCAAATCTCTCTGGTGCTGAAATTACAAGTAATTTCAGCACTTACAAATAAGTGGGTTGTTAGTTAGATGGAATATGATTGGTTAATATTAAATCTTTTATAGTGATAAAATATCTAATTTATCCAATATTAAAATGTAGTTTAGATCAGGTTCCACTTTGTAGAAAAAGTAGCGCTTCTTTTCAAAACCCTTGACCAAGATTAACATAAGTGTTTTCTAGTAAAAAGTCACCAGTGCGAGGGAAACAATAAACGCATAAAAAGCATAAAAATTGTAGCGAGACGTGTTAAATGTTCGTGTGTGCAATAGCAAGCCTAATCAGTTTCAAGTTTTTTTATGAAAAAAACTTTCCCGCTAAGTTTTATTTTTATTGAAAAGTTTTATAGACAAAATATTAAAGTTTTATACAAATCTGAATCAAATAAAACCGAATCAAGCAATTTTTTTTCAATTTCACACTATTTTATACGTAAAAAAGAATCTAGATTTAATTTGCATTTAACTCAAACGTTTTTTGCAAACAAAAACTCTACAAAATTTATTAGTAACTGAGATTGAAAAGCGACAACAAATTTGAAAACTTATTGTAAAATAGAGAGCATGAAAAGGATCTCAACCCTGAGCTGCCTCAACTCAATTTTCTTACAAACTGAACTGAATCTCATGACGTTGAATCTGATCCAGGGTTGGCAAGAAAGTGTTTTTTTTAGAAAAAAAACGTTTAAAACGTTTAAAACAAAAAAAACGTTTAAAACACTGTTTTTTTCAAAACGTGTTTTTTTTCTATATTCTCGTGAGAAAAAAAAATGCACAAAAATAATTCAATTATCTTTGAGTAATCTCATGCAGAAAGCAAGTTTCCCAACTTTCTCTGGTCCCAATTTGTTCCTCAGATCAGAATGAATGAAGCCCATCGTACTAAATGCGCGTTCGAGGCCCGCGGAGCTGGGAATAAGGGCAATCAATTTCAGTGCCAAGTCCAACAATTCTTTCGCAAAATTCCCAATTAAGGCCTGCAGGCATGTGTGAAGTTAATCCATTTCAAACCTAAACTTGAAAAAAAACACAAAAAAAAACACGTGAAAAAAAACGCCTGTTTAAAACAATGTTTAAAACATGTTTTAAACACCAGTTGTTTTTTTTCTGCCAACCCTGATCTGATCAAGTCAGACTGGAAAACGAATTCAAGCAGCACAGGCATTTCAAATGCATTCCTTTTTCTTTGTAAAATAAGAGTTTCAATAATGTCAACAAATAATTTGTTTCATATTTCAACTGTTTGTTTTTGCTTCATTTTTTCTTTACCTTGTCAGAAAAATAAAATTTACTCTTCAATTTTAACTCCGAAGATTAGTTTTATGTAATTCAAAATTTGATAATCAATGTTGATATTTGAAAAATGAAATAATACCTCTATTTTGGCCGTTGAGTACAAAAGAACTCATGAAAACACGTAGCTTTGATATACGCAAAAATTCTTCGAGTCCTTTACAATCCTCAAAAAAACTGCTCGTATTCATTGACAATTGTTTCGATGAAAAATATAGACGAATAAATCATCTGATTTCAACGAAGTTAGCAGACTGTTGCAAATGAATTGTTGGTAAGAATAGGCTTTTTTCAACGCCTACAGTTTTTTTGAAATTTTCAGGGGTGTTTTTTTGGGGAGGGGGATTTATTTTAAGAATTAAACAGCTACCACAGTCAAACTTGGTGTTTTCAGATTCATAATCCAATGCGTTTAAATAATGATCATTGTAGAATATAAATACTCCCTAATCGATCATCCCATTAGGTTTTTTCATAATCTAGACAATGCTAGTTAGCGCAAAACATAGGTGGAGAACTTACTTATACGTTTAATTAAACAACGATATCAACTTGTTGTTCTGACTTTAAAAGAAAATGACGGATTATTTGTGCTATTTTTTCAGACACGTTTCAACTTTTTAGTTACTCACGTTTGATTGATTTTACACCAATGAATTTTTTTTATGTGGCTTTGAAAGTTGTCAATTTGGGATGGTTAACGCGCGATATACTTTGTGGTATTAAGGCGCAAGCGGCGATTTAATCCGACTCAGAAGTTGTTCCAAGTTCAATTGAACCAATTGTGTTGGTCTTGTTAAGATGTTACTGGACGTAATGTGCGCCACTTTGCATTTGTCATAGCGTCTGTGGTAGAAATGTTCAAGAAAACTGAAAAGAAAAATTAGGAAGTTTCATGTTTTTTTTTGAAAATTCCTTCGAATGTTCAAAAGCTATGCCTTAGACGTTAAAGGGAAGTCGGGGCATTCAGGGCGTCGTCTTGGTACAAAAATCTTGTTTAAAAAATTTATAGACTTTCTCTTTCATGAAGCAGCAACCATGAGCATATCTAGAAACTATGGCTCAATCGTTAAATAATAATTTTTGCTCCAATTTTCGTGGAAAGTAGCAGAAAATGTATGCTTGGGGAAGGTGTTTTTATTAGAGAAAGGGGCTGGGAAAAGGCCAATTTGGCTGTCTTCTGGGTTAATTTATGCGCGTTAACAAAAGATTTTACATGATATGATGCTGGCAACGTAAAGTGAGTCTTTATGCGTGGCTAATCGTTGAGCCGTAAAAGTTGTTTCAAAATGTAAATAAGCAAGCTTTGTTATCATATTATTTCCTTAATCCCCCTAAAATTAACTTTTTTAAATTTGATATTGGCTTTCCAAATTTACGCTATTGCGCTTGCGATTAGCAAGCGTTATCAAATCGGAATATAGGCTTTTTCGGGTCAACAACTTGTTCAACAGAATCAATTCGTATCTTGGTCCATATTGCAGACAATGTTTTTATTCTTGCGATAAGCACGCGCAAGACATTTCTATTCTTGCGATAAGCACGCGTTTTGCGATCAGGTACTAGGTTTTTTTCCCGTAAACAACTTTGTTCGCAGGACTCTTCTAGACTTTTCTTCTTTAGTGGTACCTCGTTTAATGATGAATTCGAATTACTTTGCGTTCCCGGTCCACAGATCCTGAAGGTAACGAATACATCTAGGACGGCAAGGTCCTGAGTTTGTATCTGAGGCGGACCTGTTTTTTTTTCGAACGGGGAAATATTTCTATTTAATATTCTAATGGAAATATTCTATTCTAATCAAAAAAATTTCGGCTTATTATTTGTCTGCTTATGTTTTGTCGGCTTAGTTGTCACATTTTCAATTTTTTAGCTGTATGTAGGTTTACTTTTACTTGCTTCTTGTGTCTTCATTTCTTCTCAATTTGTATTTCTACTAGCCTTGACAACGTATAAATACATTTTTTTAAACTTTTTTTTTGCTTAAAAAATGTTTCGGCTTGAATGATTTTGGCTTTATCAGGTTACTAACCCCAATTTGGGTCGTTTGAGGGAAGCATAATTTGCATGCCTTCCTCCAGATTGCACAAAACGGTAGAAATTTCAGAATAGAATTTATAGTTGAAAGTTTTTCATGACAACAATTATTTTCGCTCATTGATTGTTTTTGAATTTTCATTAAACGCTATCGAATTTGTTTCCGGACATGTTTCCCGCAAATAAAACATCATTCAAGGCAAAATTTGGAAGTTATTTAGTTGTGATTTCTTCAAATTTTTTTCCGTCTCTTTGGACTTAGTGGCTCTTCTTTCATTTCCTGTCTGCTAGCTTGCAATGCTATTTTTGTGGTATCGCTTCTTCTCTGTGTCTTCAATATGAACCTTAATATCTTTTAGGCTCCCTTCCAATTGCTCTAGGGGGTAACACCGTCGCCTCTGCATCCTAAGTTCTGGGGTTCACGTCTCGGTCGGACCTTGTTTTTTCATTTTGGATGCAATTGAAAAAAAAATTCGATTAAAATTGAATTGTCCGACTCATTTGTCTGCTCAAATTTTGTAGGCTAAGTTGCCACAATACGGATTTTGGTTGAAGTGCAATTTTGTTGTTCATTCTAGGGGAGAACTTTTAGTTTTAATTCTTCTTATGCTGTAAGCAACTTTCATTGTAGTTGCAAAGGCAAGTGATATTCATTGTATTTTCAGGTGGGACTTAAAGCTTAAAGTTTTTGTTTTATAATCATATGCATTCCGTATTAAATTGTGTCTGCTCAAAGATTGTAGATTTTGTTGACTCTTTGTTTGTTTTGTTCTGTTGCTAATTTATCATTCGAACTTCTGGGAGTTTGGCCTGGAATGAATTTCTATCGAGACATTGAGAAATATTTAAAATTTTGGTAGACTAATTTTTTCATGGCTTTTAAAAATTTTTCGACGTGTTATGTTATTAATGTTTTTTTTTCGTTGCATCGCTTGTTAACGCTTTGCCCTGATATACTAGCTGTGTTGGTTTTATTCAGACCGATTCATTACGAGGCCAAACTGTGCACTGGGTAGGAGCACAATTTTGTGTCTGTATGTTCCTGGATTCCAGAGCCAAGTCTTTAAACATATTAAAATTTTATCGGAACGATCAAAGAAAATTAAAGAACAAAAGAAGAATTAAGGGAGCGTCCTTGTTGCGGAATCCGCTTACAATGCACAAAATGCACAGTTTGGCCTCGTAATGTTTCGAATTGTTTTTAAAAGTTTTGACGTAAAATTTTGAAAATCACCCATATGACGAATTTGGGATAATTAACGCGCAATATGTTGAAATGAGGCAAACAATTTAGTCTGGTTAATAAGCTACTAGAATCGAAATATATCATCTTCTACTTGATATAGCTTTTGGGGGGATAAATGGAAAAAGTTGCGAATAATTTTATTTTATTTTACTGAGCATTTCATCTGTTTGCCTAACGAAAGTCTTCTCATCAGCCTGTCAGAACATTACGGTATCGGGCTCTTACGAGCAATTTTGTAGTTTTTGTGTTCGAACGACGATAAGGTGTTTTTTATGGGGTTACAATATTGTAATTCAAACCCGTTTTTTTGCTGGCGTGAAGTTGAGCTCGATGAAATAGTTATTTAGGTAAAATGGTTAGTTAATTGTTGTGAAATTTGTTTTTATCTTTAACTGTTTGTTATCCTATCAGCAAAGTCTGAAGTAAATTATTAGATAAGAAATTTTGAGAGAAAAGCGTGAAAAATGTTTAATTTCATCTGTTCAAAATTGAAGTTGCAACTATTTTGTCCGATGACTGTTTGTGTTTCTCCTCAGAAGGTTCCTAAAAAAATGGCTTTTGTTGCGCTTTGTTGTTCACGCTGCTATTCTTTGCAAACAATCTTGTTTGAAATCATAATTTTTTGGTGAAAATTTGAAAAATATTGGGAGCCACTCACGAGAGAAAAGGCTAACATATGGGCTGTTACTCTTTTTCAGGGAGAACCGCCCTTTTTATCCTGACCTTTATGCAATTTTGGATATTTTTTGGGATGGAAATGTTGCGCTTGATGCAACCCTTGATGCGCTTGATGCAACCTCTTTTTCAGGGAGAACCGCCCTTTTTATCCTGACCTTTATGCAATTTTGGATATTTTTTGGGATGGAAATGTTGCGCTTGATGCAACCCTGCGGCAAATATTTAGCGATGCTACTCCATCTTAGCGGTCGAATTTAAAATGGTCGATATATAGATTCAATTAGTTTCTGGACCATTCTTAATGGGGAAAGGGAGCAAGTAAAAGAAAATAAGTAATCAGAGCGCATTCCAACATATTTTCTAAACATTTCTCAGATCCCGAGAAAATTTGAGGAAAATTAACATGCGGATGATCAGTTTTGGCAAAGTAAAATTTCTCTAGAGGTTCAAAATGGAACTCCAGTAGCAGTTTTGGTCCAGCTATAAAAAAGTGATAATAGTTTTTTAAACGTATTTGAAAATCTTACATCTGCCCTTGTATTGCATACATGCCTATCTATTGTCCGATTAGACTAGTCTTATTCAAGAAATCAGTTATGCTCTATCAGATATTTCTTTTCTCAAAGTAATTGGAACTAGCTCCTCTTTTTCAGGCCACTCTACGTGCCCCAAATTCCATCACGCTTTAATCTGACTCAGAGGGGGGACAAATCACGACCAGAAGACAATAATGGGGGAGGGGGGATGAACTCCCTTCCAACTTCACTCTTATCTCGTTCACACCATTCCCTTTCGGCTCACCATTCTCGCAACTCAATAGCCGAGAGGAACCGGCTCACTGCCAATAACCCAAACACGAGCGACGACTCTGAGTTGGGGACCAATCAGAATCAAGCTGCGAACAATCGGTTCAGTCGACATGCTTTTGACAAGAATTCTTCCGACCAGCCAGCGAAAGACTCTTTACGCCATAGAAGCATCCCAGAAATAGACTCCAATAGTAATTTACTGAAGGTTCCGAATTACATGTTGCCGAAACCTCGAAATTCGGATCTGAATGCCCCGAAAACAATCCCGATTATATCAGCCGACAGTAATCTAATCAAACATACTGCAGCGTCTAAGAGCAAGTCGTCTCTGGTAGACATCGACCAATCAGGATCAGGCTTGGGCGAAGCTTGGGGTAAAATGAAAATGACCCCGGGCCAATCATTACAACCTAACGTCCCCCCTCCGCCGCCGCACGCCATTGCGCGGGAAAAACCGACAACAATCCCGCCCAAATTAACCCCTCACAGTGAAACTACAAGTAAGTACAACGCTCCTGGTAGATTAAATACAATCGCAGTTACAGATTTCACATCTCTGCGAAGACGACATCAACAACTCATGAGTCCTAAGAAGCAAACGTTGGTTTTTGGACTTCCGGGGTCCAAGTTACGGGATCCTACTAAGAGCTACAGCGTCATTGAAGGAAGTTTAGTGAGAAGTAACCAATCTTTGTTTATTGGGAATGAGTACTCTGCAACTATAAGTAGAAATCACGCCCCTTATCACCATAGCACCCAGAATAATGACTTCAGTTTACTCCAAAGGTTGGCAGAGGCGCCGAGAATCTCCACCAAGAAGACTCTGCCTGTTAAAATTATGTATCCCAAGTACAGGGTACCAAATAAAAACGTATTTGCTATTGACGAAAAGCCGGTTTATTTTCTGGCTCCTGTAAAATCTACGATGCCGTTTGATTGACAAAACTTAACTGTGTAAATAGTCCAAACAGACTTCTTTCGTTATCTTGCCTGATTTTGTAAAGCTTTATATACGGTTTGTTTCCGCGTGTCTTTTACGATAGAATTTAAGGTTTTTAGTTGAAAACTGATTTCATAAAAAGCTTTATATTTTGAAGAGGGACAACTTATGTTATGCTCAATTCTAACTAATTCTGTTAACATGTGCGTGGGCTTGGATCCTAACAAAGAATTCGGTCGTAGATTTATTTAATACTTTCTTCTTTTTCCAAAAAGTCTCTTCGTTTAGGGTCAAAGAAACTACCTGCTTCTCAGCTTTACCCTTCTGTCATTCCGCTCTGTTGGACTAACCCGGAAAATCATAACACAACTAACTATCATAATACAGTTGCTACTTCAGTCTCTATTTTGACCCATGTGATTGGTCCAGAATTAGCCAATCAGCAGACAGAACGGCGACGCATAGTGCTTAACTACGGTAATGCCCTTCATTGCTCCACGAAAATGCCCTCAATACGGACTACAATTTTGCAGAGGGAAAAATACCGGGCCGAAGTAGAAGGCAACAGGTCGAAAACACGGAAAAAGGGCTGGAAAAAGTCAGAAAACCCGTTCGAAGTTCAATGTTACAACCAGAATCTGTAACGAGAATGTCCAAACTAATTAAATTGTTTTACTGTTTGTATCCAAATTAGCTATTTGCCTGCCAGTAGCTTTATTTATTTTGCTGCCATAAGTTTATCAGCTTTACAAATAAAAAGCTAAAAATCAATTTTTGATATGGAGTTTTTTTAAAAGTTTACTTTTTGATAACACTGATGAAGGTTTTTATGTATTGCAAGGACTCTTTTACCGTTTTTCGTCACCCAGAACAAAAAAATGCATTGATGCAGAAGCTAATTTATGAAAAGCTTACTTACTTTTCAGATAAATCTCAAAAAAAATATTGGTTTTAATTAAGGAACATTGCTTTTTACCTTCGCCTCCGCTTATCAACAAAACTGGCTCCCGTTTGTGATCTATTGAGTTAGCAAAAACTTATATTTGAAGACCAAATGTCTTAGGCGTTGAAGAAAAATTGTTCCTTCCAAATTTAGTTTCAATCGTGAAATACGACGATTATTTTCAGAAAGGGAAAATAACATGTGGGGAAGTGATCAACGATACAAAACCAGAAAAAAATTTTTTTCCGGGAAATCAAGTTGGTCAATGAACTCTGAATAAAAATTGAATTCTATTAAATATTTTTCATGATATTACATCAATTTGTAAACCAGACTTGAGCCAACAATCTCAAAGGCAGACAGACTGAACTTTTGAGTTAAGTCCTAGAGGTTAACTCATAGAGTAATTTCGGATAGGGTACACGTCTGCTCGTCACGCTATCTTATTTTCGGCCGGATAGATTCGTGCAACTTAGTCTAATACCGATCCTAATCTTACTCTTATATCTACTAGTCTCAGGGTGTTTAACTAGTCTCTGCTAGGCTCAATAGATCTAGAGTATACTGGCTTTTTTCGACTGCTGAAGTTCTCTTGAAGAGGTAACTAATTTCTAAGTTAAATTCAAATCTCTCTGGTGCTGAAATTACAAGTAAATTCAGCACTTACAATTAAGTGGGTTGTTAGTTAGATGGAATATGATTGGTTAATATTAAATATTTTATAGTGATAAAATATCTAATTTATCCAATAATAAAATGTAGTTTAGATCAGGTTCCACCCATCCGGGGTTTACAGAGTTTTTAGATTTATCTTTCTTTCTGTAATTGAAGGATGGATGATGAAAGTTGGTATTTGGCGAACATCTTTTTCTTATCCGGTTGCTCTTGAAGAAGAACGTTCCAGGACGCTGGAATCAGGGATAGGAAGTTGTTATTATGTCATTCGACAACGACTGTGATCCCCAATGAAATCAATCTGATTTCAAAATGGTTTGCTATGTCAGATTTTTCTGTATTAGTAGAGAACTGTTTTGAGTGCAGCCTCGTCTGGGAATGGCGTGAGGATCGTGTTTGGAAGGGATGCCTTGGAACTCGGATCTGCACGTATACTTGAACATCGAGGTGGTCATTGGTCTAGTTCGATGAAGTCCTTTTCTCCGAAGTCAAGTCGTACAATAATCCTTTGAGTCGTGATTGTGGACGGCATGTCGGTTGTGTTAAGCCATTCTTTTGTTCGAGTGTGATGAGATCGTCTAGTCTTTGGATGTTTGTCTTTGTTGTTGTGTATGATCTATATACTGCATATTATGATTTAAATTTTATAAATTTCTGTTAATCTGGTTTTTAGTCATGATCTTAGTTAGTTGTTTTCACAAAAGCGTTTTAATTTAGTTCAGTTATTTTGAAGAGTTACTCACCCTTGAGTACCTCTTATTAAAAATTGAAGTGTGGTCACAAAGCGTGGGTGTAGCGCGGTGGGTTAGGCCGGCTATAAGCATGCTCAAGACGTCCTTCTCTGTTGGGTTAGGCCAGGAGTGGGAGTATGATTGCATGCTGTTTCTTTGAGAGGTCCTGTTATGTGATAACGTTTTATGAAGTTTAAAATTATAAATTTTTATCGTATCTAATTTTACTTCTTCTTGGGGAAATAATTTATAAATAAAAATATTATATTGGGTATGAATTTAACTACATTATTTAGTGCGAAAGATTTAGGAGTTTTATTTATAAATTAACAAATTTGTATTTTTATTTGTCTTTTTTCTGTTTTGTAGATGATTGTGGTGTGAAGACTAAAAGAATAAATTAAACATTGATAGAAAATGGTTAGTACAATTTTGAATTTATTAGTTAAAATTATTTTAATTCATATTTACCTTTTTCATCTGGGAAAAAGCCATGTGGGAAGATGTCGTGAATCAAGTCTGATGTTGTTAGTAACTTGGCTAGTATGCGTATGACGTTTTTTAGTTTGTAGCAGTGGCCAAAGCATTTGAAGTGCTTTGATCATATTTAGTTCTTCTGTGCCTACTGCGAATTCATGAGGTGTGTTTTGCATTAGGTTGTAAATTTTATGGTTATTTTTAGTATTATGAATAAACTCTAGTATGGGTATTTCAATGGGTTGTATGAATTCGTGCGGGATAATGAAGGGTCTTGATTCTTCATCATTGAAGGTCTTCGTAATGGGACAGAATATATACATTTGGGTGACTGGGTCGTAGTTGCGGAGGATGCCGTGGAGGTTAGTATTTTTAATGGAATATGTAAAATTACGAAAGAATGGTGACGTGTATTTTAAGTTAATAAACTGAAAACGATGGTGGGGTTGTCTTGATGGTGTGTGTAAATCAAAATGGTTTTTGTATAAAACGATAATATGTGTAAGTGTGCGTTTGCTTAGTGCGTAACATTATATCGTGGGAACAGTGCAAATCGCGTTCCTGTGGTGAAAGAAAGTGAAAGGTTAGTGAAACTAACTGAAACTTATCATAGAAGCTTTCATATGCTTGTATGTCAACTAGTGCTTCTGAAATTATATGATCGTGCTTTTTATCAAAAATATTAAGTGTAAATAAGTATGATGTTTTAATGAAAAATTTTTCGGTTAGTTGCGGGTTTGCAAAGCGATCTTCGTCTAAAAATTGATCTTGATTAGTACGGATGATATTATGATCGTAGTATTCTATTGAGAAATCGTTAGCTCGGGGTGCGGTGAATGTTTTTAATAATTTTTTATATCCAACATAAGTAAATTGTTGAGGTGTTAATGATGTGATGAGTCTATAAAGTATATTTTTGTTCTTCTCTATATTTTCAATAGTATTAGTTAGTTGTAGATAAAGGGGGTTAGTATAATTGTAGTAAGCTGTCCAATGAAGTATTGGCATTAAAACGTGCTCATCAACAAAATTTCGTGTTTCATTAGGAATGGTAGAAGTATTTAAGGTATATTGTGGAAATGAGGGTAGGGTTATTTCAAGAAAATTTTTTGTGTTTGTGTGTTCTGGGTGGTTGATATATTCTCTGGCTGTTCCGGGTTTGGTGGGAAATGGGTGATTTGGGAATTTTCGTTTAAAAGTGCGGTAAGCTCGGTTAGTGCTGGTAGGTGTTTTGGTGGATGTGGATGATTGAGCTAAAGACTAAGTGTAAGCTGAAGAGTTGGTGGATTTGATGATGTTACTGTTGATGATAGTTGATGTATCGTAAGAGTGTGGAGGTATGTTAATTGTTGTTGTAGTGTAATAAAATTGTCAAGTTCTTCGGAAATTTGGATGTTATCTGGGGAGTTATTATGTGATCTGTCGGAATTAAATAAAGAATAGGTTGGGGTTACTTGGGAAGCGTAAAAAGGAGTGGAAAGGGATGGGAGCGGATGACTGGTTTGGATGGGTTGAAAGGGGGTTTTGAAAAAACTGAAGAATTGGTCTGGGTATGGGTAGAGGGAGATGGTTCAGAGTCTGCGAATTCGTCGGGAGTTTCTACATCGGAGTTGTTAAATTGTGAGATGGTATGAAAAACTGAAATGTCTGAGTTAGTATCAGAATTCATGCTTGATGGTATATTAATAACTGAAGAATCGGGTGGCGGGAAAGCAAAAAGTGGTACAATTGGGATTTGAGTTTGGAGGTTGGCTGGGGGGAATTTGAGCGATGGAGGGATCCAATTTGTCGGCTCATCGTGGGCTAAAAAATGATTATTTTGAGACTGAAAAGTGGTGGTATGAGGTTGTTCAATAATTTGTTCATATGTATTATCATTTTGTGAATTATGTTTCATTATGTGTTGAATGGGACTTTGTGTTGTATTTGGTCTAAAATTTGGGTTATTTGTGATGGCTAGGTTTCGAAAGTTTCGGGGAACTAACGATAATGGATAGTTTTGTGGTAGTGTTGGTATCTGTGGTGCTGTAGATGTTGTATCTACATTATTATGTTCTTCATCATATGTGTTTGGTCTTGTGGATTGTTTTGTATTATATTCTTTTATTTGTGCATCTAAAAGTATTTTATTGATTGATGATGAGAAAATTCCAAAAAATCCTGCAAAATGTATACGTGCTACACTTGCTTGGCGGTTTACTTGTGTGTGTATAGCGCATGTGTTATAGATTCTTTTTAACAGTGAGAAAAGAAATCCTATAAAGTTAAACATGGCGTATAAGATAGTTAATTTCTCTAAGATGTAATAGGGCCATCCTAGAAAGGCGAGAATTTCGTTTTTTAAGGTTACAAAACTGAAAATATTTATGGGTGAAATATCTTGTGGTCGGTATTTTTTACCGTTTAAATATATGTAATCTTTAATATCTTTAAAATATCCGCTGTATTCTTGTGTATAAATGTCTGCAAATCCTGCGGTTTCGGCAAGTTTTCTTAAATTCTGGTCGATTGATTGTCGTTGTATTGTGTCCATTTGTGTTAGTAATTCTTGAAACTGTTGTGTTCTAATGTGATGTTGTATATCAGATTTGGAATATATTCCAATTGATTGTAAATCAATATTTGGGTTACGAGTGATAGCTCGGATACTTTCTGGTGAAAACTTTTTAAGTGGTTGCATTAATGTAGGGTACGGTGTAAGTAAGTAGTATTTATCTTCGTCAGGGTTTAATTGTACGACATTGTGGCTATTTTCTGATCCACATGGGACTGCGGTGTCCCAAAAATATGTTCGTCTTGAAAGTGTATCGACAAAATGTACTTTATTTTTGTAGAATATGGGGATTCTTTTATAACAACGTTTATCTTCAAAAACATATAATGGTGATACTTTTTTGGT